GAGCTAGTTTCGTAATTCCTTTACATTTTGAGATTGTTCTTTTTGTTTTTGTGAGACATGCGTACAGAATGAAATCACTGAAAGGGGAGGGGAAGGAGCAACAAGCCCAACTCTAGGCCACGTGCTGTGCTTGGGATGAGTCTTGAATCTGCCAGCAGTGGTGTGTTGTGGCACACCTCTACTATGTGAGGATAGGAACAAATAACAGCCTGTTTCTCTTAGAAATCTCTTAAATGTCTTGGTGGCTTGATGAGGATTTTGAGTTAGGAACTATTCTGTCACTTAGGATTCAGTCCTGTCCTGTGTTTCCCCCAAAGGATTTGTAATGAATGGGAAATGCTGACATGGTACCATATTTAGAAAAGTGTAGTATAGTGTGGAACATATTTTTATCCATAGAATGGGATACTTACCCTTGCTTTGCCTAACACACAAGGTTGTGGCAGAGATAAGAATATTTGTGTATGTTTTTGAAAATGCTACAAAACTCATCTAACCAAACCTCAAAAGTTTGCATTTGTTTTTTTCCATGTTCATCTGTTATCCCTGAACATAGTGCAGTGCCTGACATCTGTGAGTAGGATAGGCATAGCAAACGTTTGGTGAATGAATGACTGGCATTCATCATATGTCTGCTTGAGGAATATGTCTAGTTTTTTCCATGATGCTGTGAGTTTTGTAAGAATAGGGACTCCGAGCTGATCCCTTGTGTGATATACAGACCTTTGTGTAAGGCTTAGGCAATATGAAAACATATTTGAAATATATGTTGATGGGAGCAGCTGAAGTCTCCCCACTGTGACGGCTCTGCCCTTGACTTTGCTTACGTTTTCATGGTCTCCTCTGTGTCTGTGTTGGCTTTTAACTGCAGTTAGCTTAACCTTTTATCTATTTTATAAAATAGTTCACCTCCACTATTTCTTTTTCACACTTAATATCCTTACTGAATATGGGACAGGTCACATTGAACTCTACTTAGCGTTCTGCATCTCAGTGACTCTATTCTTTTTGTTGTTGTTGTTGTTGTTCTTATTTCCTTTCCTTTCTTCTTCTATTAAATAACTCAAACATTTATCTTTTCTCCTGAGAAACTCAATTCTGACCAAACCCAGTTCCTTCAAAATCTCTCCTTTTTGCCTCCAGGCATTTGTGAGCAGTTTTTTTTTTTACATTACCATTTCGAACACCTAAGTTAATATAATGTTTATTAATGTAGCCATTTATACAATTTTATCTTGTTATTAGATACAAACATGCTAAAATAATTTTTGAGGTTTTTTTTGGACAATGTGTAGGTCATTAGCTTTTTAGAGCTGTTGAGAATAATTTCTATGTAGGATCTACAGAGATGGGAAAAATCAATTAACATGATATTCTATGGACATAAGACACACACTGGAAAACACAGAGAGAAGTCACAATATATTTTTAATGATTTCATCATCCTATACACTATCGTTCAACACAGGTTTGAGAGACTATCCTGTCAGCAAAACTTAGCTGGGCCCCCTTAGAAATCTCAGACAAGAGAGCTTCAAAAAACTGATGGAAAAGTGGAATTAAAATATGATTATTTTGGTGCAAAAAGTGAAAATCTCTGCTTTTTTTATAGTTCATAGTTTTTCATGAATTTTCTGCATGGATTTCAGTGTTGTTTTTTTTTTTTTTCCATCAAAATAAACCTAGGGGTGGGCATTTGGCCTAGCAATTCAGACATGACACTTTTTGGTACAACTGTGCCCTGTGTTGGAGGGTCTGGGTGTGAGTTCTGGCTCTACTTTCGTTTCCAGCTTCCTGTTGGTGCAGAGCCTGGGAGGTAGCAGAAGATGGCTCAAGTGCGTGGATCCCTGTCACCCACATGGGAGACACAGACTGACATCCCAGCTCCCAATTTCAGCCTAGCCCAGGCTATTGCAGGCCTTTGGGGGGGGGTGACCCAGCAAATGAGAGATTGTTCCCCTGTCTCTTCACTGTCTCTCTCTGTCTTCCATGAAGTTTCTGAAGTCCCTTTGGAGCTTGAGTCTTAGCTTCCTGTTGCATAAAATAAGTTGTTAAAATGAAATATAATTAAATAATATTGAGTTGTTTATAGCATCTAGTGGCTTTTAGTATTTTATACAGGTTGCTAACACTAGAAATAACCCAACATCAAGAAAAATTAAACAATCAACAGATTTCTACTGGTGAGTAACTCAGAGAATAAGAAAATCCAATAAAGAAACTCTTTTTAGTCATTATAATCTCTTTAGTCATTAAAATCTCTTTCCCAGGGCAGCGCTGTGGCATAGTGGGTTAAGCCACCACCTGCAGTGCTGGCATCCCGTATAGGTGCTGGTTCAAGTCCCGAGTGCTCCACTTCTGATCCAGCTCTCTGCTATGGTCTGGGAAAGCAGTGGAAGATGACCCAAGACCTTGGGCCCCTGCCCTGGTGTGCGAGACCTGGAAGAAGCTCCTGGCTTCAGATCCGCACAGCTCCAGCTGTTGCGGCCAACTGGGGAGTGAACCAGCGGATGGAAGACCTCTCTCTATCTCTGCCTCTCTTTCTCTCTCTGTGTAACTCTGATTTTCAAATAAATAAATAAATCTAAAAAAAAAAAATCTTTCCCCAAATATATAGCATCTATGGATGGACATCTAAGAACAGTATTAAAATACCAGGGTAGGACTCACATGTATCACTCACAAGGGTAGAGGAGCCAGTCCTTAAAAGAGGTTTGTTTGGACTGCTCTTGGGAGGAGCACAGTTCCTTTTGATGCCTTGAGGACTCCTCCATGACTCTGATGAATCTTCTTTAGATTGCAGAGAAGATTTCTACCTTCCATTTCTTCCATTACTCCACTCACTATGCGCCTTGCCCTGTTGTCGTAGACTTTTCAGCCTTTTCCTGCTCTCTCCCCATTCTCTCTCTCTCCCCCTCTTACACACACTCACACACACACACACACCTTTGTATGCTTAATATAATTTTGGCATCTGGCTTGGATTAAGCAGAATCTAATCTCAGCAGCTGTTCTTTTACCTTCATTGACCCATGACCTGACCATAGGGCAGAATGGATAAAAAAGTGAGTTGTATGCAGTGTCAGCACATTCTGCCTCCTAGGATTCAGCCAGAAGTAGCAGCATCTTGCAGGATGAAAGGCTAGTTTTTTTTTTTTATAAAGGTTTATTTGATTTGAAAGACAGAGTTACACATAGAGGTGGAGTCAGAGAGAGAGAGATAGGGAGAGAGAGAGAGAGAGAGAAAGAGAGAGAAAGAGAAAGGTCTTCCATTCTCTGGTTCATTCCTCAGATGGCCACAACAGCCAGAGTTGAATCTGAAAATCTGAAGCCAGGAGCCAGGAGATTCTTTTTTTTTTTTTTTTTTTTTTTTTGAGAGGCAGAGTAGACAGTGAGAGAGAGAGAGAGAGAGAGACAGAGAGAAAGGTCTTCCTTTTTGCCATTGGTTCACCCTCCAATGGCTGCTGTGGCTGGCGCGGTGCACACCACGCTGATCCGATGGCAGGAGCCAGGTACTTATCCTGGTCTCCCATGGGGTGCAGGGCCCAAGTACTTGGGCCATCCTCCACTGCACTCCCTGGCCACAGCAGAGAGCTGGCCTGGAAGAAGGGCAGCCGGGACAGAATCCGGCGCCCCGACTGGGACTAGAACCCAGTGTGCCAGCGCTGCAAGGTGGAGGATTAGCCTAGTGAGCCGTGGCGCCGGCGCCAGGAGCTTCTTCCGGGTCTCCCATGTGGGTGAAGGAGCCCAAGGACTTGGGCCATCTTCTGCTGCTTTTCCCAGCAGAGAGCTGGATTGGAAGAGCAGCAGCCAGGACTCGAACTGGCCCCCATATGGGATGCTGGTGCTGCAGGCCAGGGCTTAACTCTCCTGCACCACAGCGCCATCCCTGAAAGGCTAATTTTAAGGAAGAGTCTTCCTTTGCCCTTCTCATTATAATGTGTATCCCAAGTTCTTTCTGGGTTAAGTTTTTAGAACATTCATTATGTGAAGTCATTGCTTGCAATTTTATTACATATCAGGATCCCAGGCTTGTGTTTTTAAGATGCGTTTATTTTTCTGTACAGAACAATGTGACAAATTTGACTTTCAGTTAGAAAAATCAAGGAGCCATCATAGAGAGAATGACATCTAAAAGGAAGGGTTAGGAAAGAAAACCATCACAGGGAGAGATAGTGCAGGAAGGTGAGAACCTACTCACATCTCTTACAGGAGCAGCACAAAGCACCAAAGGTAAAGAAAGAGGAATTGGGTCTGCAGGAAAGGAAAATGTCAACAGCTGATCTCCAAATGCAGCTTCTTTTGAAAGATCGAAAGGAATGTTTTCTCAATTTCTTATGCACAAAACTGCAGAGATTCCTGTCCAGCTGGTCTGGATTACTGGTGCGTTTACACTCAGTAAGCTGCATTTCCGTAAGTTCCCCAAGTTTTCTGATGTAGGTGGTCAACGGATCAGTTTGGAATCCACTAGACAGTTGCTGGGATAGTTTCACACTCAGGGGGTTGGGAGGCAGGATAGACCAAATGAGGCTTCCTTAGGGGCAACCCTAGAAATGAACTGTTTGTATTTTTCCAAAGATGAGGGAATAGATGGAAAGGTTTCATGATTTTTTCAAGAACACATAATTTAATATTTCGTTCTAATGAGCTATTTTCCCAATGATTTAGTATCAACCTAACAAATGTTTTTTTTTTTTTTTTCAATCTCTCCCACTGTAAAAGTAGGATAACAAGCACAACTACTTCAATGGGTATTGGTAATGAGATAAAGTGAGTTACACAAAACAAGACAATGAATTGCAAGTTGTGAACTGTAGCACAAAGCAGCAAAGCTCTAAAGGAGGAATTGCTGAGAAGAAGTGGGAGATGACAAACTTTCTCTTTAAAGAGTCAGAAGCTAAATGGCTTAGGTTTTGTGGGCCACATGATTTCTGATGCATCTACTCAGCACTGCCTCAGTAGCTTGAAAGCAGCCATAGACAATAAATGAATGGGTGTGGTTACGTTTTCAATAAAATTTTATTTACAAAAACAGGTGAGAGGCTGGATTTGGCCCCTGGCAGTAGTTTGATGGCCATTTCTATAAAAGCTTGATAAATTCTTATTAATATAATGGCTTGCAAAAAAAAAAAAACCTTTAATGATCAGTAAACAGTTTTTAATCAAGAAATAATTTTATACATTATTTGCAGTTTTTCAAAGGAGTTTGTTAATAAGAACAATTCAAAAAAACTTGCTTGTCAAGATTTGGTGTAACTTATAATCTTGGTGTAATTTCAATAGACTTTGAAGACAAGTTTCCATTGGCAGATTCTCATTGTATTGTTCTGGGCCCTTAAGGGACAAATCCAGGCCAAAATTAAGAACCATGTCCACAGATTTTGAAGTAGTAAGAGGGAAAATTTGCCTACATCTTCAGCATTTCTAACCTTTGCCCTCTCTTTGAGGGCCTTGGTCTTGGCTCATGGTGTAGCTTATCTCCCAAAGCACAGTTCATGCAAAGAGCAACTGTGGTCAATGTTCCATGACCAGATGTTTATCCATTATTGTTGCTCAATGTTTATTGACATTAGGTTGCTTGTGTATTGTTTAGACCTGGCTCCAAGAAAAAGTTTGTGCCTCCTAACTGATACGCTTCCCTTGATCAGATGACAAAGATTACATATTGTTTGGCATTTTGCCCTGGATGTCTTAAGGCTAGAACTAGATATAAGGCTTAGTTATCACAGTGCCTTTCATTAGTTTAGAGATGCATTTTTCTTCCTTAGTTCTTCTTTTTCCAAATTATCAATGAATATTTTATGTTATTGCATAGTTATATTTCAGCATAAATTTCTTCATATATATTTTAGATCTGGGGAAAAATAAGCCCAAAATTATAAATAAAATCAGATTATATTTGTGAGGAGAGCATTTTTTCTGTGTAAAGTTTCTTTAAAAGTAACAAGTATATGATTAAAAATAAAATAGTATATTGATAAGTACTTTATCAATAGTATTTTTGTAAATATGTATCTTACAGGAAAGGTTATGATTTTCAGTTCTGGAGTTCAACAGATCTGCACTCCCATTCCAAATCTATTACAAGACATGTTACCCAACTGTACTGAATCTTAGCTTCATCATCTGTAAATGGTTATAATAGCTATATTTATCTCATAGATTTGTAACAGTTAAATGAAATAATTCATATAACATGCACATGACACAATGCTCTATGTGAAGCACTAAATCTATGTATTTATTACTTACTATTATAGCATATTTATTTTTATTTTTCCAGCAGTATTTCTGTAAAAATATAAGAAATGTGGCTATTAGTTCAGCTTTCAATATGAGGCCATAAAAGTCTGAGCATTGCCATTATTTTCCAAATCCATCTTCTCATTTTTTCCTGCAATATTCTTAAATGATCCCCTACCAAGCAAATGGAGTGTGACCTAATGTCTGACTCTAGAAGGAAGACCACCAGGAAAACTAGGCAGGAGTCTTAAATATTAACCACAAATGTAGTTCTCCAACAGCTTAAGCCAATCATCTTCTTTTTAATTTGTGTAATTCCACTATATTTTCCACACATGTCTTCCATGTCAGGCCTGGCCATCTGATCTACCTGAGCCAGGAAAAGAAATTCCATAGCATAATTTTACTTTGATATAAAGACCCAATTCTGCTAATTCTCCATAATTATTCCATTCATTCGCTCCTCTCAATTCCATAATTTAGGATATAGATTTAAAATTATTTTAATCTTTGTTTTCAAAAGCAGTACTGATTGACAAGATAACGCCGAAAGTGTTACACCAACAGATTAGAACCATTGCAGCTGGAACAAAAAGGCCAGGACAAGAGCAAAAAGGCCCAGGAATTTCAACAAAAAGGAAACAGGGAAGTTAGATGAAGCCTTCAGGGTCCGAGTCTTTAAAGGCTTCAGTATTCTCTGCTTCTGGGTGAAGATGGCATTCCTGGCTCCCTCCCATTGTCCAGGCCCAACCAGGCGATACTGGTAGGAATTGCAGGGCCCGAAATAGAGTTTCACAGCAAGTTTAGGATCTTTAAACAAGAATGAGACTAAGTCTGGCTTTGCCCCTATCTCTAAGGCGAGTTCGTCCAAGTAGTCGATGTAATTGGTCTGCAGTTTCTGGCTCAGGCTCTCTCCAAACCTTAATGAAGAAAGCAAAAAGGACAGAGTCACAAAATGTTATAAGTTTTATAAGAGTAATTGGCTTTCCATAGCTGTTGGGAGAATGCAGGAATGAATGAATGAATTTTGAATGAATTTCTGGTGCAAAGTGTGAGTTTAATCCATTGGGAGTTCTCTGACAGTAGGCCATGGAGTACATAGCTATAACTTCAAGGAAGTCCTAGGAATGTGGTGAGATTGATAACTGTGGGTTTGGTAGTTAGTAAGTAGCTGCACATCTGCAAGCAAGTCCATGCAGGCCAGCATTGCTGCTAAGATTCATGAGACAATACATATGAAAGCCTAGCTTGGTGTCTTGCCCAGAGGACATGTTTGATACTTATTTGTTAAATTACCAAAGTTCCTGGAGGCCTAGCAGGCATACAGTAGATGCCCGATAAATATTAGATGAACCAGAATTTGAACCTGAAATAACCTCTTGCAAGGTATGTAAGCCCTCCAAATCAACTGTCGAATGGTATTCATCACTGCTGAACTCTATTCCATCTCATCAAAAAGTAAGTCTTTGAACCTTCACACCAACCCCTTTCTAATTTATTTTGGTGGAGACCCCCCTGAGCGACTGTCATCTACGACTGCCCCAGCCCATCCTCTCTCTAACCAGACAGTGTGGGTGACCTGAGAAGATGAGGTATCTGACAAGCTCATCATATAAAACCAAAATGAAATTAAGTCAAGGAAAAATGTTCTGATTTAGTACAGTTCCTATCTGTAAGTAGTTGGTTCTTAAACATGTAAAAGAGTCACCTAGAAGAATATAAAAATGTAAATGTCCAATATCATCCACAGAGATGCTAATTCTCTTGGTCTGGGTTGTTACCCAGAAATTTGTATTTTTATGAAGGAGCTAGGTGATTCTTGTAAGTCGTCAGATCATTGTATGTAAAGTATGTTTAAAAGGCATTCTTACAGGGCAATTCTGTTTTCATTCCTCTTGATAATGTCTGCCATCATGGTCTCCTTTGAAGGTAAGCTACACAAGCCTAGAAAAGAAAAGCTTGGGTTAAATGGCAGGTTTGATTTATGTTCATTGCTTTGTCTAGTAGCTGGTTCTTAAAACACACTCTGACCATTTAATCTTGTCCTATTGGTCAGCGCTGCCTTGCTATTGATCTCCAGGAGTGCCATCCCTTTAATGTTCTATATGATGCTGCCTGGAGATCACAGTCTGCAGCAAGAACTAACAGGTGAAGAGGACTAGGAAAGGGGCTAGTGCAGATGACTGTGTCTGAGGACTCTGGAGATCTTTTGCCAAGTGGTTCAGGTTCTGTCCTGAATGTGACCTGCAAATTATGGGAGTTTGCTGCACCAAGAGAAAAGATCAGACTTGGTTTTTGGCAAGATACCTCTGGCTGATGAATTTAGGAAGACAGGCTCGAGGAAGCTGAGCCTAAAGTTAGGGGAACTACTTAAGGGGTTGCTAAAGTGAAATTGGTAAGAGATGAAAATCGCCCAGTGGGGATAGAGAAAATAGATTCATGCAAGAGTTTGTAGTGTGTGTTTATGAATTCCTATCCTGTTCACAAGTGTCCCAGAGCTTCTCCTGTACCTGGCTCATCATCAGATGACTCAGGTCTGGGTAGCCCAAAACTGAGCCCACTATTGAAGGCTTCCTGTCTAGGCTTGCAACTCCTCTGTATACTTTCTCTCCATTCACAGCACTGTGTCCCACCCAGTTTCCAACTCCAGAGGTCTGTAAATCTTCCTTGATCCTTTTCCCTTTCTTTTTCTAACACTGAGCCAATTATTATGTTTTTAACTACTTCTCCCATTTACATTCTCATTTTCACTTTGTCTCTCTGCCCTGGCAGATATTATTTTTTTTCAGTGATATGATCTTCAATTCATCACAGTCTGGAGATTCATAGAGAAACTGTCTTTAAAGAAAATTTATTTTTTAACATCTATAAATTATAGTGGACACAATTTAATTTTAACATTTTGTCAATATTATTTTTATATGGATTTCATAATTTTGTATTGTGCTAAGGATAAGATGATTGCTGTTCCACTTGGATGTTTTCCTCCATTATGTTGATCTGAAAATGACACCGGTACTGTTTTCTAAAATTTATCTAGTTTATTAGAGCTTATAAAAATAAAAATAGACAACTTCCCTTTATATTTTCTTAAAATAGGTATGTATAATTTTTGACTTTTTAAAAAGCATAATTTTGAGAAACATGATTTGTTTATTGGAAGATTAGTTCATAATCTTTTTATTAGGAATACAGCCCTAAATGTGATGTAGTCAAGTGTTTCCTCTCCATATGCAGATTAACTTTGTTACATGTTAGTGGATCAATTTATTAGCTAAAACTGTCACTAATCCCTTTAAAATGATAGTGTGCTTTAGATCCATGGTTAATGACTCTTTTCCAACCACTTACACACCCTAAACCCCTGTTCTTATGCTGAGGTTCATCAGTAATTAAGTAATTACTGTTGCTGTGAGTATCTAGTTATCAACCCAATGCAAATATCTGCCCATCCACCTGAGTTAATTTTAGTTGAAAAAAGACCATAATGAGATTGAGACTGACTCTCACAGATTCAATGGAGAGAGAAAGAAAAAACCAAAATTAGTAAGAGAATTCTGATGACAGAGAGAGGGAATCTTCCATCTGTTGGTTCACTTTCCAAATGTTCCACAACAGCTAGATCTGGGCCAGGCCAAATCAAGAAGCCAGAATTTCAAAACAGGTTTCCCATGTGAATGGTAGGGATCCAAGTGCTGGAGACTCCCCTGCTGCTCCTGCCTACACATCAGCAGGAAACTGGAATTAGAAGTGGAGGCAGTACTTGGACCCAGGCACTCCAGTATGGGATACAGGAGTCCCAAGTGCTGTCTTAACAGCTGCACCAAACACATGGCCCTGAAGGATTTATAAACATTAAATAGGTATAAATAAGAGGGGCATAAATATTTTCCTCCTTAACTTGATCTGACTCAAAGAAAGGATAATATTACTTAACTTTATGCCAACTGAAATTCTCTGAACTGTCTGTTATTTTAAAGGGGAGATGGTGGTTATTTGTTATTACTGTGACCCTATATTTGTTATTCTTCAAATTTCCCACCAACACTTTAGGTTGTTAATCTTGTGAGGGCAGTCAATGTTGTCAGCCTTTTTATTGCAACTTTTGTGTCTAAATTATTTATTGAGCAAACTCCACCAGGTCTGAAACCCTCAGCTACCCATCCATTGCCCACTCATTTACCTTTGAAAACTCTTGTTGCCCAACGAGCTTGAAGTTCCACAGTTGGGAAAATGGAACCTAGGGGCTGGATGAGACCAAGGCATGCAAAGGTTGACTTCTCCAGTTGAGGAGGGAACATGTATTTGTAGAGTGAGACCATATTATCCTCTATTTTAACAAGTGACTCTTCAAGGAAAGGAAAAGCAAACGTGTATCCTGTTGCAAAGACAATGACATCAATGTCTTCCTCCACTGTGCCATCCTCAAAGATGGCAGCACTTTCTGTGAGCTCTTTCACTCTTCGTTTCACCTTGATGGTTCCATATAGAATACGACTTGGAAGGTCATCATTTAGCACAGGTTCTTTCATAAGATACCTGAGACACACAGAAAAAAACACTCAGAAGCATTCTTTACTGAGCAATCTTCAACTCGCCTGACTTTTTTGCTGGCTGTGCAAATAAAGGGTTTTACCAAATATCTCTAAAACTAACTGGACTAGCTGGTCTGTACTAATCTTTATTAACTGGCTTCCTTCTCATGTTATAATTATGTCCCTTCAATCCATATGAGAAAACATGTAGATGATATAAGTAAAAAACATTGTAAATAAAGAAGATTCCCTGCAGGCTTAGACAAAATGCCAATGTGTGTGATTAATGTTTGAGTATTCTGGTGGTAGCTATCTCACATATGATTCAATCATTTTTAGGCCATATAGCTTTCACTATTTTGTTAATCTCTATCAGATCATAAGTAAGGAAGAGGAAAAATGTTAAATTTCCATTAGTTTTATAACTTATTAAGAGATTAGTGTGAAAATAATGTATAAAGTTAGGTCTGGTGACATCTGTTGACCCCAAATATTCATGGAGTCTCTGGGATAGCATGTTGATGGAACAAAGTCTGTTTGTTTTGTGGAGTTTTTTTTTTTAATTGGTAGATTTTGGAACCATTTTATCTTTTTTAAAGTGAGACAATTCACGGTGCATGTATCAGATCTCAGAATAGAGCAGTTGCTTGACATTTGTTTAAATGTTGTAAAGACCACTTTTCATTTTTTAAAGGGAAGGAGTCTGTTATCAACACAAGAAAAATAAGCATCTCTAACGGATGGTTGTGCTTACAATATCAGTGATGTATAACTTTAAGACAACAATGATTTGTTTTGCCACAAAGAGAAAGGAATATGTTCTCAGAAGCTCCCCAAAGGAAGAACACTCATAGTATATAGAATAAGCAAAGCCTTGCTTATCAGATTGAGAACTATGCATTTCCTTGCATAGTTCCTTGCATTCCTTTCCTCTGAAGGAAAGGATTCCCACCACACCCCTGTGGAAGCAGCCTCCCCAGTGTTGGGCCACTCTGGATATCCTGCTTCTGCTTTCTGGAGCAGATGACAATATTTTTACTTCACCTATTTGGGTGTTTTGGGGGAAGGGAATATGGAACAAATTTGGGACTGAAACTCTAGGATCTATGTGATATGCATACTTTTGGGTTATAGCTCTGAACTACCCTGTTGGCAATTTTAATCTTTGTAAAGAGAAGCAACTTCGGGGCTGGCATTGTGGCATAGAGGGTAAAGCTGCCTTCTCCAGTGCCAGCATTCCATATGGGTGCTGGTTTGAGTCCTAGCTGCCTTACTTCAGATCCAGCTCTCTGCTGTGGCCTGGGAAAAGCAGTAGAGGATGACCCAAATATTTGGGCCCCTGAACTCATTTGGGAAACCTAGAAGAAGCTCCTGGCTCCTGCTTTGGATCGGTCCAGCTCTGGCTGTTGCAGCCATTTGGGTAGTGAACCAGCAGATGGAAGACTTTCTCTCTCTCTCTCTCACTCTCTCTCTCTCTGCCTCTGTCTCCCTGTACCTCTTTCAAATAAATAAATAAATCTTAAAAAAGAGAGAAGCAACTTTAGACAACCTTGCTTACTAATAAATTGATAAAAGAAAATCCCGAGTGTCCTAAAATTATTTATAAGGGCCAGAAGTTGGAGAGAACAGTAAATCACTAATCAGTAAACCACTGTGGACTGGAGACTACAAATGACTGTTTCACATTCCTGAATGTGCATTGAAACCTTGACTTACAAACCTCTGGTGGCTGGTCCACAAGTGCCACTGTCTCCTGCTCACCTACAAGCTTTCATCATTAACCTGAAGCGATTTAGGTGGACAGTCTGCTTATGAACAGTCTTCCTATCCTCAAACTTTCCCATCTTATCTTACCCAACATATCTATGTCTATAGCCAATATACATGATTCATGCTTTCTTTTCCCAAATTTTCATTATAAAAACGCTCTTGGCTTTTAGGTCCAATGGACATATTTTTAACTGCTGGTTAGCCTTTATGATGGGAATTGCACAACTTGCCCCAGGATCTGTTCATTTTCTGTCTAGCATTTGGAAGAGCACAATGAACCCTTTCATTTCAGAAGGCAGAAGGTTAAACAGAGTACACCATAAGAAAAAAGAGTACACCATAAGAAAGAAAAGTAACTCTACTTGTTTTCAGGTGCAAGACCATAATTTTCATGGTTGAACCACCGATTCATCTGTTGTTCCATCATCCATTTTACAATCATTCGTGGCAGAACATTTCGGAGCATTGAGCTAAACCTAGTGTGGAACACCATGTCCCAAGGATAGCCATCTTCGGAGATACGGCTCATGACCCAGGAACCTTTTCTGGTGCTGATATATACCTGGTAAGCAAAAAGAAATGCAGTTTAAATTAGGGTGATGTCCCCTTTGGGAGGAATCCACTGTATAGGGGATATATGATGTGTGGCATCAGAACTTATGAAGGTTATGTTTTATTCATTTATTTGAAATTTATTTATTTGAGAGAGAGAGAGAGAGAGAGAGAGATTAGTTTTTCCTCTCCCACAATATAGGGGGGCATGTAACAACCAGGGTCATGGAAATCTGTTTTTTTTTTTAATTTTTATTTTTTGACAGGCAGAGTGGACAGTGAGAGAGAGAGAGAGACAGAGAGAAAGGTCTTCCTTTTTCCGTTGGTTCACCCCTCAAGTGACCACTGTGGCTGGCGCACTGCGGCCAGCGCACCGCGCTGATCCGACGTCAGGAGCCAGGCACCTCTCCTGGTCTCCCATGTGGGTACAGGGCCCAAGGGCTTGGGCCATCCTCCACTGCACTCCCTGGCCACAGCAGAGAGCTGGACTGGAAGAGGAGCAACCAGGACAGAATCCAGTGACCCAACCGGGACTAGAATCTGGTGTGCCAACGCCGAAGGTGAAGGATTAGCCTATTGAGCCGCAGCGCTGGCTGGAAATCTGTTTTAAAGATGTTTGGCCGGTGCTGCGGCTCAATAGGCTAATCCTCCACCTAGCAGTGCCGGCACACCAGGTTCTAGTCCCAGTCGGGGCGCCGGATTCTGTCCCGGTTGCCCCTCTTCCAGGCCAGCTCTCTGCTGTGGCCAGGGAGTGCAGTGGAGGATGGCCCAAGTGCTTGGGCCCTGCACCCCATGGGAGACCAGGAGAAGCACCTGGCTCCTGCCATCGGATCAGCGCGGTGTGTCGGCCGCAGTGCGCCAGCCGTGGCAGCCACTGGAGGGTGAACCAACGGCAAAAAGGACCTTTCTCTGTCTCTCTCTCTCACTATCCACTCTGCCTGTCAGGAAAAAAAAAAAAAAAAAAGATGTTTGATCTCAGAGTGAAGTATCTCCTAATTTTAGTGCTCCCTAGCAACTTCATCATAAAAGGGGGTATCCATTGGCCTTGATACTGGTTTAGAAATACTGAAACAAATTCTTGAGACTTCATGGAGACAAGAAAAAAAAAGTCTTTGGACTAATACCAATGGTAAAATCCCCAAGTCGGCACACATTTCCAGGTGTGGTGTGTGGTGTGTTGCTCTTTAAGAGAAAATGTATTCTCCCCTCCTTTTACATTGTCTGCCCACTCCAAGTTACTTTGATAGCACAAATGAATAACTATTATGCTTGGAAATATATGATTATGGCCTAAACACTCTGTAGATGTCCATATAGGCTTATATTCCTGGAAGGGGAACAACAAGAGAAGTCATCTTCCTTCCATACTGTAAGCTTAGAAAGCAATTCCATTTTATTAAAATATAACTCTGAGTATAATTTTGGAATAAAACATTCATATTTTTTTTTTTTTTTTTTTTTGGACAGGCAGAGTGGACAGTGAGAGAGAAAGACAGAGAGAAAGGTCTTCCTTTTTGCCATTGGTTCACCCTCCAATGGCTGCCGCGGCTGATCCGATGGCAGGAGCCAGGTGCTTCTCCTGGTCTCCCATGGGGTGCAGGGCCCAAGCACTTGGGCCATCCTCCACTGCACTCCCTGGCCACAGCAGAGAGCTGGCCTGGAAGAAGGGCAACCGGGACAGAATCCGGCACCTGTACCGGGACTAGAACCCAGTGTGCCGGCGCCGCAAAGCGGAGGATTAGCCTAGTGAGCCGCGGTGCCGGCTGGATATACCATTCTTTACCTTGTCAACTAACTTTTGCCATTTGGGAAACATGAAGTTTCTTTTCAAGCAAATATTTTACTTTATTCATTATTACTCCCCCTTCATCCAAGTGTGTTTGAATAGCCTTCTCAAATTTTTATATAGCATCCTATGAATTCTATTGTTTGAGGCTGCATTTAATCAACACATAAGATTAATTTACAAGGAAACTGATTTAAGAACTTAAGATCATGGACTCTGGACCCAGACATCCTGGGTTTAAATCCCAGTCTCATACTTACCTCAGTGTTGCCTTTGATGACTTATTTCAACCACTTTGTGCCTCAATATCTCTCTCCATGAAATGGGCCTACAGCAGTATCTACCTCATAGCATTTTTGTATAGATTAAGTAATTAGTATAGATTTTTGTACAGATTAAGTAATTTTATATAGATTAAATAATGATATTTGTAAAGTCCTTAAAACAAATGGAAGACACTGCTAGCTGTTATTATTTTGTAAATCTAGGCTGTGGGAGGAAGGGGGAGAATTACATATAATGCCTCATGTCTGGAGCAAGCCACAGTTAGGGTACAGATTTGGGGGAGGGACCTTAATCTTCAGCCTGCCAACTGGCATCGACATAACAGAGGCACTTGCTTATTCTCTGTGCAGTGACCTGCTTCCATCCTGATTTCTCCAGTTGCTCCTAGGAAGATTGACCAGTACTTTGAGTACGTATTTGATACTGATCTTAAATATTCCCCTTGATGTCTCTTTCCTTGACTGACTGTTCCCCTTTTTTCCATCAGATCAGTCCATGTTTCAAAATGCAAGCTGAGCCGATGTTATTTACTCTCTTTCCGTGGTGGTTCTCCCTGCAGCCAGGGACTCCAGCCTGTATAATTCTGCTAGTGGCGAGAGTGTGAAAGGCCTGAGGTGCATGCTTCAAGCCAAAGGCCAGAGATGTGGTGTTTGGTGGGAAGTGTGTGGATCACCTGGCACCAGAACTTAGTGTCATAATATCTTGAATGATGCTTTTGGGCTGTGATAAAGGATGCCATAGCTTTATGAAAGTGAACTTCCTTTAATACAGCAGAGAGCAGTCAAGATCTGGGTGAATTTGGGTTTTGAAGATGTTCTAGTTTCATCCTTTATGTGCCTTGCTACTGTAATGTCTCTGGTAAGTCTTCCTCTTTTTTTTTTTAAGATTTATTTATTTATTTATTTATCTGAAAGTTGGAATTACAGACAGAGAGAGAGAGACAGACAGGAGATCTTCTATCTGCTGGTTCACTCCCCAAATGGCCACCACTGCCAGGGCTGAGCCAGGCCAAAGCCAGGAGCCAGGAGCTTCATGTGGGTCTCCCTCATGGGTGCAGGGGCCCAACAACTTGGGACATGTTTTACTGCTTTACCAGGTGTATTAGTTGGGAGCTGGGTTGGAAGTGGAGCAGCTAGGACTTGAACTGGAACTTATATGAGTTGCTTGCACTGCACATAGCAGCTTCACCTGCCACAGTGCCAGCCCCCTGTGGTAAGTCTTCTTACAGAGGATTTGAGACTAAGGTAGTCTATGTAAGGTTTCATTGCAATTATAGATAATTATACTTTTATTACAATATTAGATATATTATAACATATAATTATACTGTAATTTCTCTTATGAATCTAAGAAGTACTGAAGACACACTTCATACAAAAGATTGTTTAAGGAGCTGTAAGGCACACAAAGTTGACCAGGCAGTTTCTTGACATTGAGGAATTTTTTTGCATGATCAGACCCACTTAAAGTGGCTCTTGCAACCCAAGATTTGATAGCTTTGGAACATCTGTCCTAAGTGCAAACCATGGATCTGACAGCATCTAAGGGTCTAGGATGACTCTTCTCTTAGTTCAGCTTTTTTTTTTTTTTTTTTTTTTTTTTTTTTGAGAGGCAGAGTGGACAGTGAGAGAGAAAGACAGAGAGAAAGGTCTTCCTTTGCTGTTGGTTCACCCTCCAATGGCCGCTGCGGCCGGCGCACCGCGCCTATCCAAAGGCAGGAGCCAGGTGCTTCTCCTGGTCTCCCATGGAGTGCAGGGCTCAAGTACTTGGGCCATCCTCCACTGCACTCCCTGGCCACAGCAGAGAGCTGGCCTGGAAGGGGGGCAACCGGGACAGAATCCGGCACCTGTACCGGGACTAGAACCTGGTGTGCCGGCGCTGCAAGGCAGAGGATTAGCCTAGTGAGTCGCGGCGCCGGCCTCTCTTAGTTCAGCTTTTATCTCCTGCCCCATCACGTTACCTTTCCCAGGCTTTGCTGGTATTCCCAGTGTGAAGGAGATGAGAGCTGGTGGCTCTCAATCCTCCCACTCTGCCCTGAGCTTCTGAGGTTACTGCATCATCACTCATTCTTCACATGGAAGTTGGTCTTAAAGCTTTGCAGAGTGAAAAGTAGCTCCCTTCAGAAAAAATATGAAAACTTCTAAAGTCTAATAAATCTCTTTTTGGTGTTAGTGACCTTCTCTGTCCCCAGGCTGGTACCAACTGATATTGACTGGTAGATGGGTCTGACAGATTCCAGTGCAACCCCTTTGTTAACCTGCTTGGGGGCATATTTGTTTACCATGTTTGCAGCTGGGCATCTCAAGTCCTGAAAGTGTAAGACTGAGGGCAAGAAAGTTTTGCTGATTCTGGACATGGCCATATGAGTCTGTGTAGCCAGAGGCACCAGAATGAAGAGGCTAGTGTGAGGATGATAGGGCTCCTGGTTGAGGTGTTATTGAGAGAGAATCCTTTGGGAGAGAACCCAACACTGTCTTGGCCTAATGTATATCCTTCCAGAAGGGAGTTATTTTCTGTCATTCCCAACTATCTCTATCAGCATTATCTATGTTTTAAAATGTTTTTTGATTATTAGTTTACATTTATTTGAAAGGCAGTCACTCAGTCACACAGAGAGATGGAGGAAGAGAGAGAGAGAGACGGAAATAGATATTGGGATTTCTGATCTGCTGGGTCATTTCCTAAGTGCCCACAACAGTGAGGGCTGGACAAGGTCAAAGCTGGGAGCTGGGAACTCAACCCAGGTCTCTCATATGAGTGGCTGAGACCTAAGTACTTGAGCCATCACCTGCTGCCTACTAGGGTGTTGATTAGCAGGAAGCTAGAGTCAGGAGTGAAACCAACGCTTGAACCCAGGCACTGTGATATGGGATGTGGGTGTATCTGAAAAGGTGCAAAGACAACAGTCCTTGGACAGTTTCATGAAACACCTAAATAGCTATGGTTTTGGTTGGAAGTCTTATTATTGATTTAATCTTTATTTTGTGCATACTATGGACATTGTATTATCTATAATTCACATATATTCAAATATACTCTAAAGTTTTAAAAAGAACCTCCCAAATATGAACAGGTCAACATCTTGTTAAGTCCCCTGGGTAGAAATAGTCCCTTGGACTGAAAAACATCTGAGACTGCCCATTTAAAAAACTGTCCAGAGAACAGAAATGACTCACTCTAGGGCACATGGCACGTTGCAGGTGGAGCTGGGAGGTGGACTCTGGCTTCTTGCCTTCCAGATTTTTCTATGATACCACATGGGACAACCAACTAACAGATTAATGAGTAAAGGAGCCTTGGTTACACAGCTGGGGTTCTGTGCTGTGCCCTTTACATTTCCTCTCCCTCATAGTCCTGGGTAAGCAGAAAGCACCACACCTGAGCAGCCTTCTTACTCAGCTCAACGGCAATGTCTGAGGCCGAGTTTCCTATTCCAATCACCAAGATGCGTTTCCCTTCAAGTCCAGCTGGATGTTTGTATTGGCGACTATGGAAATATTGGCCTTTAAACTTCTCGATACCTTCGGGGGAAGCAGAGAGAAGGCAGTGAACTTCTGAGTAAACAATTATGTCAAGTTAATTGCAACAAAACTTGCACTGTCAGCTGTTCTTTTCTGAGGTCAAACACTTGATTTACTTCTTTCCTTCCACAGGAGTTGCAAAAGCAAGGCCAATCAGCAAAATCAAAGAATAAGGCACATTTAGAAACATTAGCACCAAGTGTAAAGTACAGAACCAGAGGATCTGACTTCAGAGGCTGCAGCCTGTGTATTTATCATGGATAGAGTAGACTCAGGACTATGTGCTAGCCTCTTGAATGTTTGCTGTTGATTTTTAAAATGAATTTATTAACACAGTAGATTCTCAGAGTCCTAGCAAATGCATAATTACTACAACACAATTCTTATAAATGCTATCATTAATATATTAATATTAAGAGAACAGATTCAATATAGCTCATAGACACTTCTAAGAATATAATGATACTTCTCATTTTTTCGTTTTGAGATAATATTTTAATTTACATTATGTTCAAAGGCTTAATGCTTCACTAAATACATAGCAGATAGTTTAAAAATATTTCTTAAACACGTTAAAAAGTTCTAATATTGTAATCCTGTACTAATTGGAAATCATATTGTTTGCTAGCAAAAACAAACAAAAATGAAAATAAACTATAATCCAAGCATATAGAAATTATGTTTCCATAAATCAGTAACCTCCTGGTGGTTAATTGCAGAACAGCCTACTAATTACTACTTACTTCCCAGAAACACCTACTTTATTAAAGTCTGCCTTCAATGGTAGTTACTTGAAAGAACCTTTAGATCATTTGTTCTCAAAACGTGGTCCCTCATCCAGTAACATCAGCATCACCTGGGAAGCTGTAATAAATGCGAATCCTCAGTCTCACACCAGACTCACTGAATCAGAAATGGGGAGCAGGAGGCAGCAATTCTTCTTTGGAAAATCATCCAGATGGTTCTGCTTGGGAAGCATTGCTTTGAATCAGGAGGTCTCAGTTCTGCCTATTAAAATCACCTGAGCAAGCCTCAATTGACCCAGCCCTTCCCCATAGCATTTCAATCTTTGCAGATGGGCCCCAGGCACCATGATTTAGAAGATCCACAGGTGATTGTAATGAACAGCCTAGCTGGTGAGCCACTGTATTAGATGTTTCCTGAGGGCCACAGGAAGGAAGCGTGCTCTTTGAGGGAAAGCCTGGGGGCATTGGGACAGATGGCTCCGTGCTCATCACTGTTCGGCGGAAGTTTTTATTTCCAGGAATGCACCCTATTTCTATGGACATGGCTCTTTGGAAAAGGCTCCAGGCACAGGACAAAGTCACAGGTGTCTGGCTGGATAGAAAAAGGCCCAGGTAAGCATACGGCTAAAAGCCCTCTCCAGAGAGAACCTATTAAGGTAAGAATGTTATTAAGTTCTGGGGAACACTAAGTGACTTTGGTGGAAGTAAGCTGAGCTTTCTGTGTAGCGAAGACCTAAACAGGTCACAAGAAACCAACATGGCACTTTGTGTCTTCCATCTTTTCAGCTCTTTCCCAGTCTCAGCATTAGGCTCCATCAGAGTAGTGAGTCCTGCCTGTCAATACAGTTGGATAGAAATTACCTAAGATCTGTCCCGGAGAGCTGGGGCTCTCCTCAGGCCTCACCTGGAAATGACTTCAGTGGGATGTTAGGCAGGATATGGTGGCCACTGCAGACCATGACTGCGTCAAAGACAGCACTCTGCTCCTTGCTGTTGCTCTGAGTAACAACCTCCCACTGGCCGGAAGATGAGAAATCTGGGCGTTTTTTCACACTAATGACAGTGGTCTTGAATAAACACAAAGAAGTCATCATTGAGAGATACTCTGGGATTGCATGGGCCGTGTCCAGGGCTCTGTCCAGTGGTGGGTAGAATGTAATCTGTGACTCCATTTGAGATCATTTCAGGCCATGTAAACAAAAACTGCTAAGTGTGCCCTTATTTGCAGTTGCCTAAGGACATGATGTTTTGGGCTAAATGTCTATTTAGCAGTGGAAAATCTTGTATCAAGGATATCAAATACTGAATAAGGACTTTGAAAGAGAAAAGAAATTAGTTGCAAAATCTGCCCAAGGGCACAAAACACACACTAACCCCTTAAATGATAAAGCAGCATTTGTCAAGTCTATGTGTCCACTTTTGTGTGGACTTTATTAAGAGAAGGTGTTTCATGTGAAGCACTTGTCAGAGTGCCTGGCATATTGTTAGACCTCCAGTGAATTTTATTTTATTACGGAGAGACATAACAGGGCTCCCATTCACTGGTTTATTCTCCAAATGTTTGTGTTGCCCAGAGCTGGGAGCCAGGATCTGGGAGCCCAAAACTTAATCCAGGTCTCCAACCTGGGTGGTGGGGACCTGAGCCATCTCCTGCTGCATCCAAATCTGCAATGGCAGAAAGCTGGAAATAGGAGTTAAGATCTGGAAATCAAACGAAAGCACTCTGATATAGGACAAGGGCTTCTAAATTTCTAAGTCAAATTATTTTTAAAGCAATGCAGTTAATTATCTAATTTGAATCACATACATGACTGATTCATTGATTCATTTTTTTTTTTTTTTGACAGGCAGAGTTAGCCAGTGAGAGAGAGACAGACAGAGAGAAAGGTCTTCCTTTTCCATTGGTTCACCCCGCAAGTGGCTGCTACAGCTAGCACTGTACCGATCTGAAGCCAGGAGCCAGGTGCTTCCTCCTGGTCTCCCATGCGGGTGCAGGGCCCAAGGACCTGGGCCATCCTCCACCCCCATCCCCACCCCCGGGCCACAGCAGAGAGCTGGACTGGAAGAGGAAGAACCAGGACAGAATCCAGCGCCCCAACTGAGACTAGAACCTGGGGTGCCGGCGCTGCAGGCAGAGGATTAGCCTAGTGAGCCACAGTGCTGGCCCGATTTATATATATATTTTTTAAAATAACTCACTGTCTGGAGGTCTGAGTCTCCTATAACTAGTTTTGCAAATTTTCAGATATTTTAAAATATCTGAGCAATTTCTGAGAGTAGAGATTTTCCACTTGTAAGAAGTATACTAACTGAGGAGCTGCAAATCTGTGCTTCTCAAAGTATGCTCAGAGGACAAACACCTTTAGCATCACCCAAGAGCTTTTTAAAATCACGGTATCAATGACTGCAAATGGACTAAATTCTCCAGTTAAAAGATACAGAATTGCTGAATGGATTAAAAAACAAGACTTATCTATTTGTTGCCTACAAGAAACATACGTCATCAACAAAGATATATGCAGACTGAAAGTGAAAAGATGGAAAACAAGATTCCATGCTAACAAAAAGCAAAAAAGAGCAGGGATAGCCTTCTTAACATCAGAGAAAAATAGACCTTAATTAAAAGAGATGAAGGGAACTATGTAATGGTTAATGGATCAACTCAACAGGAAGATGGGTCTATAATAAAGTTATATGCACCCAGTGCCAGGGCACCTGAATATTTAAGAGAAATGTTAATGGTTCTAAAGGGAGATATAGACTCCAATACAATAGTAATGGGGTACTTCAACAACCCACTTTCAGCAATGATAGATCAACTAGACAGAAAATCAGCAAAAAATAACAGAGCTAATTGACACCATGGACCAAATGGACATACCTGATCTATATAGAACTTTTCATCCCACACTTGCTTCTGAATACACATTTTTTTTCCTCAGTGCATGGAATTTTCTCTAGGATAGACCTATGCTAGGACATAAAGCAAGTCTCAGCAAATTAAAAAAAAAACATCAAAATTATGCCATGCATCTTTTCTGATTGCAATAGAATGAAGCTGAAAACTAACAACTCAAGAATCTCTAGAGCATATGAAAACTCATGGAGACTGAACAACATGCTCCTAAATGAACATTGGGACATAGAAGAAATCAAAAGAGAAATAAAAAATTTCTGGAAATGAATGAACATATCAAAACTTATGGGATACAGCAAAAGCAATAAGAGGAAAGTTTATAGCAATTGGTGCTTACATCAAGAAATTGGAAAGGCATCAAATAAACAAGCTATCAATGCATCTCAAGAACATAGAAGAAGAACAACAAACCAAACCCAAAATTAGTAGGAGAAAAGAAATAACTAAAATTAGAGAAGAAATGCATAAATTTGAAACCCAATATAAAGGATAAATGAAATGAACAGCTGGTTTTTTGAAAAAATAAACAAAATTGATAAACCATTGGCCCAACTAACCCAAAAAAGAGGGAGAAGACCCAAATGAATAAAATCAGAGGTGAAAAAGAAATGTAACAACAGATACCACAGAAATAAAAGAGTCATCAGGAATTACTACAAAGGGTTGTAAGCCAACAAATCAGAAACCTAGATGAAATGGGTAGATTCCTGGACACAAACCACCTACCAAAAATGAGCCACGAACACATAGAAAACCTGAACACACCAATAACATAGACAGAGATTGTCATGGGGTCTTTATTGCTGATTCAAAGAAAAGCCCAGGACAACTTGGCTTTACTGCTGATTTCTACCAGACATTTAATGAAGAACTAACTCCAATTCTTCTTAAGCTATTCAAAACAATTTAAAAGGAGGGAACCCTACCAAACTCCTTCTATGAGGCCAGCGTCACCTTAATTCCTAAACCAGAAAAGAGATACAGCAGAGAAAGAGAACTAGAGACCTATTTCCCTAATGAACATAGACACATAAACACTCAACAAAATGCTAACTAATTGAATCAACAACACATTATTCACCCGGACCAAGTGGGATTTATCTCTGATATGCAGAGATGGTTCAATATTCACAAATCAATCAATGTGATACAAATTAACAAACTGAAAAATAAAAACCATATGATCATTTCAGTAGATGCAGAGAAAGCATTTTATAAAATACAACATCCTTTTATGATGAAACTCTTAAGCAAATTGGGTTAGAAGGAATATTCCTTAACACAATCAAGGCAATTTTTGACAAACTTGAAATTGGCCAGTCTCACAAAGACAAATATGTTTTCCTTGATCTGTGATAACTAATACAGTAACTAAAATGTAATGTATAAGGCTGCAATTGACATTTTGATTTTCAATGATTTACAGCTCTTGTCTCTACTGGCGAGGAACAATATTGTTTCTTTTCCCTCATATTGTTTGTTGATTTCTTGACTTACTGTATGGTTAAGTATAAAGTAAACTGAAAATAGATCTTTGTAAAAATTAAGAGTAGGATAGGAGAGAGAGGAGGAAAAAGGGTGGGAGCCTGGGCAGGAGGGAGGGTATGGTAGGAAGAATCACTGTGTTCCTAAATCTGCATATATGAAATGCATTAAATTTGTAGACTTTAAATAAAATTTAAAAAATCACAGAAATCAGACTTCAGCCTATACTTATAGAGTCAGAATCCACAGTTTAACAAGATCTCCCGGTGATTCACATGCCCATCAAAGTTTGAGAAGCACTTACGCACTTATACAGATTTCATTAGATAAGCAACAGGACCTTTTACAGTTTGTCTACTAGGCTTGATCCCTGATATGTAAGATTTATATAAACTCAAAAGCCAATAAACAGGAATGAATCTTCCCAACCCCTCTCCACCCTCCAGAAAACCATAGTAGCAATAATATAATAAACAAGACAAATAACTTTTCTGCAATTTTAAAATGGTCTTTAAAGGAATTCATAGCCTAAATTACATAAGAAAACAATATATCTGTTAAGTAAATGGACAACTAAATGGACAAAGACTTACAAAAGCTCCTGGTCTAAAGAATTTGTTGATCACTGGACAGATGTCCCAGGAACTGGGAGAAAATTACATTGAATAAAACCAATGTAATTAATAGTATTTATATAGAGTTCCATCAAAATCAACTATGCATAAATTAATATATTATAGGCCCAGTAGATACAAAACTAGAATTGCTAACAAAATGAGGTGTGTTTTTCAAAAAGCTTCAGGGCAGGTGTTTGGTGCAGCTGTTCAGATCCCACTTGGAATTTCCCTATCGCATATTAGAGTGCTTTGGTTTGAGTCCTGGCCCTGCTTCTGATCAAGCTTTCTGGTAATGCACCCCCAGAGAGGTAGCAGATGATGACTCAATTAGATAGGTCATTGCCAAACGCTTGGGAAACCATGAGTTCTAGGTTCCTATGTTTGGCCAGACCAACCCTGTCCGTTGTGGGCATTTAGAGAATGAACCAGTCAATGGAAGTGCTCTCTCTCTCTCCCTCGCTCTCTCCCCAACTCCTTTCCATTTCTTTCTTTTTTTTTTTTTTTCAATTTATTTTTTTGACAGGCACAGTGGACAGTGAGAGAGAGAGACAGAGAGAAAGGTCTTCCTTTTTCCGTTGGTTCACCCTCCAATGGCCGCTGCGGTTGGTGCACTGCGGCCAGTGCACCCCACTGATCGGTAGCCAGGAGCCAGGTGCTTCTCCTGGTCTCCGATGTGGGTGCAGGGCCCAAGGACTAGGAGCCAGGTGCTTCTCCTGGTCTCCCATGCAGGTGCAGGACCCAAGCACTTGGGCCATCCTCCACTGCACTCCTGGGCCATAGCAGAGAGCTGGCCTGGAAGAGGGGCAACCGGGACAGAATCCGGCACCCCGACTGGGACTAGAACCCGGTGTGCCGGCGCCGCAGGTGGAGGATTAGCCTATTGAGCCGCAGCGCCGGCCCTTTCCATTTCTTAAAAAATATTCAACAATATGTCTAACAATTATTTATTAAGAAATGTAATTTACAATTTATTTTTAAGGACAATTACTAGTTCTCAAGTTATTGATAAAATCAGTTAATTTAATAAGATCTTTTTTTTTTTAACAAAATTTAATTTCATTTGAAAGGCAAAGATAGAGGGGTTGCTGCTGTGGTGTAGCTGGCAAAGCTGCTTCCTGCAGTGCTGGCATCCATGTGGGTGCCGGTTCAAGTCCCACCTGCTCCACTTATGATTCAGCAGAAGATGGCCCAAGTCCTTGGGCCCCTGTACCTGCGTGGGAAGACCCAGAGGAAGCTCTTGGCTCCTGGCTTCTGATTGGCACAGCTCTGGTTGTTGTGGCCAATTGGAGAGTGAACCAGTGGATGGAAGACCTCTCTCTCTCTCTCTGCCTCTCTTCTCTCTCTGTGTAACTTTAACTTTCAAATAAGTAAATAAATCTTTAAAAAAAAAAAAAAAAAGAAAGAGACAGAAGTAGACAGATCTTAAATCCATTGGTTCACTTCCCAGATACTCGCAACAAGGAGGGCTGAGCCAGGCTGAATCCAGGAGTTTGGAACTCATTCCAAGACTCCCAGGTAGTTGGTGGGGTCTCAAGTACCCATGTACTTAAGCCATCATCTGTTGCTTTATGCATTCACAAGAAGCTGGAATTGGGAGCAGAGATAGGTCTTGAACCAAGGAACTCCAATATGCAATGCTGGCATCTTAAGCATCATCCTCACTTTTGCACCAAACACCCATCCCTAAGAATATCATATTTTTTTTTTTGTGTTGGTACTTATTTTTGAAGAAAAGGAAAAGATAATTCAAAATAATCTGACCATCTGTATGTTTCTGGAGTTTGCATTCAGAGTTTGCATAAACAAAAGTAGTTCACTGAGATAATGGAGAATAATGAATTTATTTATTAATTACTTTGGCTGATGTTAGTATTTTCATGAAAAATCCTGTTTCTATAGAGATGTTCAGAAAATAAAATAGAAGATTGATTTTCTTCATGTGTCCTTTCATGGTAAATGAGGTTAGAACTATTTCAATGTAACAGATACTTGTTTACATAGTTTTACCATCAATATCATTTTCAAACTTTTAACAGATGATTTTCCTCTATTGCCAATTGTACATAGTAAAAGGTAATGACACCACTGTTTAGGTTATACGTAATGCTCTTGCCCTTCAACAAAGATTTGGAGTGGGATACTTTATCCAAAACTGCTTTCATCATCACATAACTTCTATATTTAAATGTGTGCTGAATTAATAGAGAAATCCATTTTCCCCAAATTACAATACCTGGAACTGAATATATTTGAGAAGGTCAAATTTCTTGGCAAAAATTCTGAAGTATTCCAGAAGTTTAGAATTGTGTAGGAAGTTTGGAAAATCTTCAGGCATAGGAAAGTCACTGAAACAGGACATTTCTTTGCTGGTGTTGGTGATAACAGATTGATAGATACTTGCTCGGCCATCTTCCACATTTTCCTAAAGGGTCAAATAAAAAAATTAGCAATAACTTTGGAATTTACAAAGTTCCTACTCTTAAAAGAAAGGAGAGAAAAATCCTCTTCTTCCTCCATCTAATCCCAGAGTGATGCAATCCTTTTTCACTGTTGTAGCTTGACTAAGGTGTTTGGGTGATGAGGGGCAATATGTGAGTGCCACCATTCTGAGTGATGGGACTGTTGGTTGCCTACCAGTGTTGCTCACTGAGGATGCTAGTGACATTGGTGGGGGAGGGGATGGGGACAATTCTTTTGGCAAACTGCAGGATATTTAGTATGCCAGGTCTATATTTACTTAATGAAAGCCTTTGTGACAATCAGTCCTCCTCCTTTTTCTCTCTCTACTTCTTTAGGACTGATAAGAATTTCATTTAAAATGAATACTTTTAGGAGCAGGGAGGTCTTCTTTGTTTCTTTGTTTCTTTCTTTCTTTTTTTTTTGAAGAGGCAATGGGTATACCTCTTTTTTTATTTTTATTTTTATTTATTTGATAGAGTTAGTGAGAGAGAGAGACAGAGAGAAAGGTCTTCTTTCTGTTGGGTAACCCCCCAAATGGCCGTTACTGCCGGAGCTACGCTGATCCCAAGCCAGGAGCCGGGAGCTTTCTCCTGGTGTCCCACGTGGGAGCAGGGGCCCAAGCATTTGGGCCATCCTCCACTGCCCTCCCATGCCACAGCAGAGAGCTGGACTGGAAGAGGTGCAACCAGGACTAGAACCTGGCACCCATATGGGATGCCGGCACTGCAGGCGGAGGATTGGCCAAGTGAGCCATGGCACTGGCCCCAGGGAGGTCTCATATTTCAATTTGAATCTGTCTGCCTTTATGATTTTTACAAATTAGCTTTCTTCAAATGATAAAAGAGAACATCACTGAAAACAATTAAGTCTTAAGCTTGATTTCTTTTTCTTTCTGTTTTTAACAATATAATTAGTACTTTTTACTTAATGGGCATAAATGCCATCAAACACACAATTATTGTGAAAACATACAATCTTTCATCACACATGAATTGTCTTTATAAAGCTGAGTAACATTGTAACAGAAAATCATTTAAGTCAATATTGTATAGTGAAAATCATTTTTATCCTCTAAATGAGCAGCTGCATTGCCCAATTGTGAGAAAAATTGGCTCAGAACTTTCTGGCCATTTAATATACTAGAAACAGCTTGTTTTCTTTCTGCTTAGGAGAGAATATAGTTCACTAATTAGCCACAAATAAACAACTACATCCAGGCTCTTAGTTTTATCTATTGTGCACAACTCTTGCAGGGATTAAAATTTTCAAGGACATACAGATTCCACTGTCTTTTCAAAATAAGTGCTCATGTTACAGTCATTGTCATTATTATTTTTTAGAAAGATTTTATTTAATAAATATGTTTCATAGGTCCAGCTTTTGGATTATAATGGTTCTTCCTTTCATACCTGCCCTCCTACCCCCACTCCTGTCTTACCTCCTACTCCCTTTCCCATCCCATTCTTCATTAAGATTCATTTTTAATTATCTTTATATACAGAAGATCAACTCTATACTAAGTAAAGATTTCAACAGTTTGCACCCACACAGACACACAAAATATAAATTGCTGTTTGAAGACAAGTTTTACTGTTAATTCTCATAGTACAACATATTAAGGACAGAGATCCTACCTGGGGAGTAAGTGCACAATGACTCCTGTTGTTGATTTAACAATTGACACTCTTATTTATGACATCAGTAATCATCCAATGCTCTTGTCATGATCTGCCAAGGCTATGGAAGCCTTTTGAGTCCATAAACTCCATCAGTATTTTGACAAGGCCATAATCAAAGTGGAAGTTCTCTCCTCCCTTTAGAGAAAGGTACCTCCTTCTTTGATGGCCCCTTCTTTCCACCAAGATCTCACTCACAGAGACCTTTCATGTAGGTCATTTTTTGCCACAGTGTCATGGCTTTTTATGCCTGAAATGTTAAGCTTGATTTCGAATATTGGTGAGTGCACTTTGTAAAATCTGAAGCTGCAATGCTATTGTTAAGCTGATAATTTCTTCTACAAGTAGTTCTTTGCATTCTGTCCTTTATGTTAAATCATAAAACGGATCAAATGTGATTCAGCATCGCTGGGATCAATGTATTAACAAGGAGACTTTAGGAAAATTTGAATAATTATGCCCAAGAACTCCTCCATAGGTGCTTCTGAATAGGCAGAGACTAGGCATAATCTAGGTGATTAGTAGTTGCTACTGGGGCTCAGTGTTTCAATGTAAAGATGCAGAAAGCTTGTAGGAATCAATTGGAACAAATTACTTTGTTTTCCTTACATATTACCATAGTCTCTTCCACAGAGTAGCAAAATAAATAAATTAAATAAATATTCACCTCTAATCCAGTCACCAAAATAAATCAGTTGTGCTTGTTTTCTTCTAATCATTGTTCATAGAAAATAATTTCTTTCCTGCCAAATCTTTAGGTCAAGCCTCTATATTTTCGGTAACACTGAAAAAGGGTGTCAGAGCAGCAGGAGTCAGACATGAGTTTGAAGTCTTGTGTTTCTGATTGTGTGTGTCTAGATCAATCAGAAACCTTGCGTGTCAGTCCCCTTATCTCTAAGATACGGAGACACTGAGTGCTTAGTAACTGTTTCTTGTTATTGAGGAAAATATTGATTTCAGCAAAGAGCACCTTGTCCACCACAGAATGAAAAGGCGCCCCAGAGAGCTGTTTAGAATAATACCAAAGTAGCTGGTACGGGACATTTACCCTCCTATAGGGGTTTTCTGTACAAGAAGCTGTCCTTGATTTCAAAGAGCTAATGTGAACTTACGGTGATGTTATCTCTGTTATTTAAGAAACTTCCATATATATATGTGTGTGTGTGTGTGTGTGTATATATATATATATATATGTCTATATACATATACATACAGGAGCTCACTGTGTCCTAATTTCAGATGTTATCTGTGCCAATATTAAGATACCAGAGCTAAAATCATCTTTGCTCTCAGATCATTATCACTTAAGAGGAATATGTAGAATTCTTGTTAAAAATTCTCCCTTTGCTTTCCTTTCTCTTCATTCATTTATTCATTGACTTATTCATCATTCACTCTCTTATTCATTCTTACCTACCATAGGACTTACTCCAGAAGTAGTGTGTTTAACTTTCTTGCTTCAGAATCAAGACTCAGGAGATAACTTTTCTCAGTTCAAGTGGCTTATCAGATTAGGATATGCTCAATTTCTTGGTGATAAGAGGTTAGTGTGGTATTGTTAATTTTATGTACTAACATCCAAAAGGAGTTTGTACTATAATATGTGGAGGTTTGTCTCATATGTAGGAATACAATGATCATGACTCTGGATGAATAAATCCTTGTATTTTTACTTTCAACTACTAACTTCAAATTGCATAACACTAAAGTCAAGCTGATGTGTAACTTATTTCTGGATGTTTCAGCATGATTGAACACAATGTCCTTGGCAAGAGTGAATGTCTGAATTTTTCTATCCAAACAAGTTCTCCAGAAATTATTCATGAAGCAAAGAAATCTAATTTTCCTAAGATCAGATAACTTTGTGAGAAATACAGGGTCTGTCTAGGTTAATATTGTAATTCTACTGCCCTTAATGGCTTTATGATGGAAAAGTTGCATAAGTCAGTTTCCTCACTTCCCTGTGTAAAAAGGAGCTCCTTAATAACTCCAACATCAAATAGCTATTACAAGGCTTTAATGAGATTAGATAAAGTACTTAACACAATAAGCTACCTCAAAATACGTGCTTAGTGAATGTTTGCTTCTTTTCCTGTTACTAAAGGCCACTAGGGCTAAAATTACTAAACCAGACATAATTTGGAATCAGTTAAACTAAGATTGCTATATGGTAGCCAAAATCTTAGTTATTTTTCAAGACTCAATAAACTGGCTTTAACATGTGACAAGTTTTTCTTCCAGGTCAGCTTAGTAGGATTTTGAGAAATGAGAAGAATGGATTCTAATATCTGAGCCCCTAAAGTAATTTTGAAGCAGGGCAACAATCCTCTTTGGGATATTTACTTGTGTAGTAAAGAAGTAAGGACATATTTTTTTTTTTTCTGTTGATCAAGTGATAACCACGATTGTTGGGTTTACGGAAAGACAGTAGACAGAAGTTAAAAGAAAACTTTGTCTATCTATGCTTCTTCCCACATTTACTTAACTAAAATTGGTGTCTGTGTTTAGACACAACTGGACAAAATTGGCTTAGTTTTCCCATGGCTATTAAGGGAATTAATATTGACTTTATGTATTTAGCACTTGATATATGTAAATCTATATCAAATGCCTGATAAGTATTGATTTTATATACAATACTTGATATGGATATATAAATGTATATCAAGTGTTTATCCTGTCCTGGCCCTGAACTTAGAGTTAGGGATAAGATACAAACAATAAAAACATAGTTTCTATCTTCATGTAGCTTATTGATATATCAAATTAAAATGCATTTGAGCTTTGTGGTCAGGGAAAGAGAAGACAGAAAAAGAAACAGGGGCCAGTGTAGTGGTATAGCAGGTAAAGCTGCCATCTGTGATGCCAGCATCCCATTTGGGCTCCAGAACAGGTCTGGTTCTTCCATTTCTGATCCAGCTCCCTGCTAATAGCCTGAGAAGTCAGTGGAAGATGATCTAAGTACTTGGGTCCCCTGCCACCCAAGTAGGAGACCTGGAAGAAACTCCTGGCTGCAGGCTTTAGCCTGGCTCAGTGCTAGACATTTCAGTCACTTGAGGGGTGGGAATAAAAGAGTAGATGGAAGATCTCCTCTCTCTCTCTCTCACTCTCTCTCTCTCTCTCTCTCTCTGTGTGTGTGTCTTCCTCTCTCTCTGGAACTCTGACTTTCAAATAAATAAATAAATCTTGAAGAAGGCAGGGGCGGGGGACTCTGCTGTCAACTATGCTAAGGCCAGGGAGAAGCAGTTTTAAAACAGAAACATTTCACTCACATATTTAAAACAGA